ACATTTAAACATGTTAAATAGTGAATACACAAATACTTCATCTAGTTCTAACAGATTATCGTTGGAATACTATAAGAGCATTCTGGGAAGGAAAGAAGGAGCTTGATTTTACTGTCAGGAGTTCAAGCAGTAAAACATTCAGAATTAAACCATCCCCTCACATGCCACCTGGCGTTCAGTCTGACAATCCTTGCATCTATCAGACAGGACACCATAGGAAGTAGGTACTGTAACCCCTGGGAATTAGGGCTACTGCCTGGATGGGAGCTTCCGGAAAGAGGTGTGCAGGAAAAGGACACCAGACCAGAGAGGTCGTGAAGCCTGGGCAAGAGCAAAACTAAAAGGTAAGAACCGAAGAGATCACAAGACCAGGACTAGTAACATGGACAGAGGCAAAGACACAGGTAACAATAAAAATTTGTTTAGACAAACACATGACAGACGAAATGCACAAAACAGGAGCAGAACATCTTGTGCTCTGGATGCCACAAGACTGATCTCCAGGCAACGCTCTCTGCTCAGGATATACAGAGTCAGGATCTTAATGAGCTTAATGAACTCCCAGGCGCCACATGTGTAACATTAACAAGTCTGTACGGAGCACAACAGGCCTCACAGAGGTTCTCTAGCCCACGAAGTTAGCGCAGTGTCCCTTCAAAGGTATTTTTCAAATATACCCAGGTAGAGCTTAGATGCTACTGGCTCCTTCTACTGGCTCCACCACGTTAAATCACATGAGCTCAGATGATCAGGCACAAGTAAACGCAATGTTCCGCAGGGACCCCAGGTTCAGAGAAGCACCTCTGCGAAAAGAGCGTATGATAAACTCTACAGCAGAATCAAACAAGTCTTGACAAGCCCAGGCAACACATTTCAATGGCTCAGTGGGAAAGGTCATTAAAACGTACAGGCCAGAAGATAGCCTGGAAGGAGCCATCTGCTCATCATGGTCCCGTGGAGACGTGGCAGAGAGAGAGGATTACCTTACATTAGCTTTATTCGTTTAGCGAAAACCTTCAGTCAAGGTGTCTAGCATGTAAAGTGCGTACAGTACAAATAAGAATGAAAACAGACAATAAAGTTTAGCAATGTTGCTTTCATATCATACAAAAGAATCAAAACGTATAGTGTTACACGACCTTGAGTGTTTCATGGACGTAGGGCAGATGAGCTTTCAAACCGATTGTGCATTAGCCACAGATTCGTGGATCATCACAGGCTTTGCAGCAGATGTTACTATAGGCCTTATAGCAGTGAGCCTCTTCAGGGTCCACAATCACCTCGCATCGCTACACTGGGACTCTCTAAGTTTTGCTCCTATATAAAGACTCCTGAACATCTGCTAAAGACATGGGCAGATGCCTAAAACCATACATGTGCCGGAATAAGCGAGGTTTTTGCTTCCTGCAGGCCCTCGACAAACTGCTTGCCAATGTCAAATGAATCCCCTGGTGCGTATTGGCGGGTTCATCAACAATAATCAGAACCAAAAGTGAGCTTTCATTTTCTGAAAGCGGTACTGGGCGCACTGGATTCATAATTCCTTCATCTCATTAAATAGCCGTGTGAGGTAAACGTCTCTGCAACGAACGTTGTCATGGCCAGATAAATGGGTTTGCAATGTCATCTTTTTCAGCCATCCATCCATTTTCTAAAACGCTTTCTTTGAACTCCTCCAGCTTGGGAAAATGTTTTAGAATGTTTTAAAAAAGCAAAGTACAGCATACCATTCGAAACAGGAGAACACTTACGTGCAATACGGTTCCAAATCTTTTGTTTTATTTTAACTAAATTTAACTAAACTTCTGTGTTTGTGATTACGTGATATTCAGATACAATACCCGTCATTAGTCTGGACACACTGATGGAAAATTGTTTTCAACAAGATAATGATCATAAGCACAAATCCAGGTTATGTAAGTATTGTATTATCTCCTGAATAAGGAAAGAGACGGAGTGCTGTGACAGGTGACTTGGTCCCCACAATCCCCCCCACCGAAACCCTTTGGGGCGAGTTGGATCGAAGAGTAAGAGCAAGGTAGCCAACTTGTGCCCAGACCAAACTCCTTCAGGACTGTTGGAGAAACATCTGGAAGTTGGTTGAAAGAATGCCGAGAGTCTCCATTACTGTTATCGACGCAAAAGGGCGCTATTTTGAAAACTGATATGTTGAACCCTTCTTTTGGTCACTGCAGTGATTGATGCGTATTACTTCATTGCATCAATGCTTTTTACTACAAGGTGAGTAACATAACTAAAATAAAGACAACTGAATTAAAAGCAGGTATGTCCAGGCTTTTGACTGGCACTGTACATCCCACCCAGGGAGGACTCCAGCCTTGTGCCCCCTGGTGTCTGGGATAGGCTCCAGGCCCCCCCATGACCCTGACCAGGAGAAGCAATTAGAATATGGATGGATGGTTGATATTTAGCTATTCGCCAGTTAGCACCTTGCAAGATCTTGGTGAAATGAAAAAAATAAACAATGCTTTATTTGCCACCTGCACAAGCGTACTAGAACACTATTTTCGCATACACTATACTGCTTTCCGTTTTCTTGAGACATACAAGCACAGAGTCAGCCATTTACCTGGCACCCTTGGAGCAATCAGGGGGTGATGGCCTTTGCTCTAGGGTCTCACAAAAGCATCAGTCTTCCAGCCCCAGAATTCAATCTGACAACCTTCCGGTCACAAGCACTAGCCTGTGGAGTCACACACTAAATCGCCAAATTACCTATATTTATATCACACATTTTTTTTCGTCCAGAGCAACATACCGTTTGCAGAAATGGGCCTTGCCAAAAGGCACCATTGGGATTCAAACCAGCAACCTTCAGTCACAGGTACAACACTCTAACCAGCTTGAAACACACCAGCGGCACCTCCGGAAGTTTTTTAAACTCTCTTTCTAGGGACTTGGCCATTCATAGGCATCCTGAGAAACTACTTACTCGACACCCAGATACTGCAATTTGCTTTTTAATTTTCAGCAGTATTTGAGGTCAAGCAGGGCTCAGTTGGAGTGGCCCACGGCTGGACGGGAAGCTGGCAGGGAGGGGAGGAGATTCAGCAAGCGCTGGCTCACAATGGCTGCCATTTAAGTAGGCAGTGATTAAACGCCCCCTCCAAGCACCTGCAGGTCAACAATAAGCATCCTGTTCAATAAATAAAACCACTAAGAAGGCCTTCTACATTCTGTCCTACAGGGTTGCTGCTACAGGGTTACTTTACAAAAATATTAACTAGATATTTTACATTATCTAAGGAGGCATGATGACATTAGCTTTTAATTCATTGCTTTAACTCAATCCTAACTACCTTGTTATCAAAGGCATGTTATATATCTGGATACTTACAGTAGGCAGGATGCACGGAAAAGCCTAAATTAATTTATTAGTTGAACGGACTGTAAAGACATAAAATGGGGAAAGTATATTACAGAGAGACGGTAGTTATTCGCTGATGCACTCTTTTCAATCTGGAGAAAATAAGCAGAAATGTTGACCCTGGTATTTGTATCCACCCCGAACGGCGACCCCGCAGTTAGTGCGGCTAACTGCGGATGCTGCGCTAATCACGCAGTGACGCCGAGTAACGCAGCCAGGCGCCGGAGCGGCAACCTGCAGTGCGTCCCTGCAGTCTGCTGTTCAATGCGCTTGGGAAGGCACACGATTAAGACAGCTTTTTGGATACGGACATTAAAATTTACCTGTCTATTTATGTTCGTTCAAAAGACACCCAACTGTGAATTGCATCATTTTAATGATTGTAAATCAAAGCTCGTTTCCGCAATAGCTAATAGAAGCATTAGTAGTTTATTAGCACCGGAATGTAAAAACGGAATAATACATGTTTAATTTTTTTAAATATTAAAATATACAAAACCACCACTGATTTAGTTGACAGCTTGCCCAAATTGCATTTTCCCCATGGTGCGTTTGATCAGCGGGAGGGGGGCATGTTGTCGCTCCTCCAGTCCCGTGAGATCAGTCCCCTTTACATGCAGCCACGTGGGACGGCGAAACACGCGGCGCTGCTTCTTTTTAAAGCCCGCGGCTCGTATTGTAGCGAGGGCTGCCCGCTGTCCCTGCGCGACTCTCCATCTGCTGCTCTTAGCCTTCCCGCTCGGAGATTACCGTAGGTGGATCTGCAACCTGTGGAAACGATAGCCGGATGGAGTGCCACAAACTGCGAATTTCCTCCCAGGCGTAAACGTTTAAAGAAAAACAGAGGATGGGTTTTAATTGGCCAGCATTAAAAGGCAGGTCCAACAACATCCGCCTGTTCTTTTTGAGTATGCGTTAGCATATTTGCCTCCACAGGTTTGTATTTATTTTGGCATTGTGTCTACCAAGGTCATTTCATTTTTACCAGGGGTGCAGGAACCGGGAGTGACTACGTGTACCCCTCCGTTTAATTTGGCTTGCATTTAAATTATGAAGCACCCCCCCCACACACACACCTACACCCTTGCATTTCACATATTATATCAGATGGAGGTTTTTAGAGGGTAAATATTATTGCCTCATTTAATCACCACACATTCAACACAAACAAAACCGGCAGGTTTGGGTTTTGTTGGTTGAAGCTGTATCAAGTGTGAAAAAGCAGCATCGTTTAATAAGAGCACATAAAGTCCTGTGTTCAGAATTGCACCTTAGTATAATTAAAATCAGTGTCAGTGATAGTATACATTTCAAAATTTTATTGTAAGTTTTTTGTACAAAATGCACGTAGCCTTGCCGATACAACCATTACAAACCTATAGCATGTGTTAAGTTTAAAAGTGTAAAGTATAAAACGTAAACACATTTAACCTCATCCAGTGGTGACATACCATGTACCATAGAATCATCAGGCGTGTTTCCAAAACAGTGATGTTAAAATACTTCAGTTAATGTGTTTCTTTAAAGAAGTGCAAAATGTCAGTCCCAGTGAGAATGTGTAAATTGTACTGTAATGTGTGAATAAAAGGCAGCTTAAACAATCTGCACCTACCATGAGGAACTTAGAGTGGGACTGATTTTTTCTGGCAGGCAGCCCTTGATGTCTCACTGTATCCAGCACTCTGGACGCCCAGGCCATCTGAAATCAGGCCTGTAAAGATGAAGGAGCAAAGAGTAGAGGAAGTCATCAGCCAAATTCCTCCAACTCGAAGAGGCGCTGTTCACAAACCAAACAAACATCAGTTACAAATGTCCATCTTACGCACGGGCTGTCTGTCTGCAAGGCAGAAACTCACAGCTCAGCTCATTTCATTTAGGGTTTTCTGGATATATGAATAAATTATTAGCTGCTAGAAGCAGAATGTTTCCTTGAGCAAAGGTCATGTATATATATTGATTGATGACAAAGCGCTTTAGCTTTTAAAGGTCCAGTCTGATGGCTCGAAATTTAAAGACACAGATGTTAGCTTCAGATCTGCGGCTGAACCCTTGAGACTGTTAAACTTAAATTGATCCGGCTAACTATCACCGTAAGTGGGAGAAGCATCATTTGGGAAAAACATCATTTAAGCAACATAACAGAAACAATAATAAAAATTAGATAGATATATAGATAGATAGATAGGTAGATAGATAGTCTGCATCAATATTCTTTGAATATTCTATCCATACCGTTATCTGTCAGGTGCAGACACCTGACTTAATGGGTAGAAGTTAGCGTGAACCATTCATGACACTGAATGTTCTGGAACCTTCTAATCTACTACGAGTTCTGTAAGAAGGGAGTGCACTTTGTGACAGGCTGTCATATTAATTGGAGCCTTTACGTTTGCATATGTCTCGTTTGTTTTTTAAAAAAATATTCCTTTTCTTGAATTTCACTAGATTGTAAATTGTAGTGTTTTTTTTTTTATATTATTTGCCGTGCTCTGTCAATTTTCTTTTGTCTTGACTGCGCCCCCCCCCCCTCCCCCACCACCACAACAGAGACTGTTCTCATCAGCTAAATGACTGTTCACCTTTACTCCCACACGTCACTGATCATAAAAAAGCAAGCTAAATGCTTTCCCGGGTGTTATTTTAAGATATGCCTATATATAACTGATATAATACATGTATATCTTTTTATCTCTGCAATTCATTGTATATATTTTAAATATCAAGCTGGGCCCTCCAATGTTAACGGAGCTCTACTGTTGTTCTTACTGTGTAACTTTGTACAATTCCTGTCATGGACTGGTGTCCAGTGGTTAGCACTGTCGCCTCACTCCTCTGGCACCAGAGTCTGCATGTTCTCCCGTGTCGTCGTGGGGTTTCCTCCGGGTACTCCGGTTTCTCCCCCACGGTCCAAAAACATGCTGAGGTTAATTGGAGTTGTCAAATTGCTCAAAGGCGTGCGTGTGAGTGAATGGTGTGTGTGAGTGAATGGTGTGTGTGAGTGAATGGTGTGTGTGAGTGTGCCCTGCGATGGGTTGGCGCCCAATCCTGGGTTGTTCCCTGCCTTGCACCCTTAGCCCCCGGGATCGGCTCCAGACCCCCCCGCAACCCTGAATAGGATAACCGGTTTCACAAAATGGATGGATGGACTGGTATCCCATACTGGGTGTTCCCCTGCCTGGTGTCCCAGTGCTTTCTGGGATGGGATCACCACAAACCTGTATTGGATGGATGGTTTTTAAGTATCACTTGCATATTTACTGAATATTGCAGACCACCAATACCCTACAACAACACAAATACTTGTTGATAATGTTAATTTACAGTATATAATTTCAAATTCATGATGAAATTCCATTTGGAGCTGAGACAGCTATCTAAATAATGCTTGCACTTTGGTCTTTGTAAGCAAAAAATATTCCAAAATTCACCTTTATTGTAATTTTTTGATCTATTCTCAGAATTTAAGGCCCTAACCCTTGTTTTCTGTCAGAAAGCTCCAGTTTTAAAAACAGGAAAAGCTGGAAACAGATTGATACTATACTCTGTATTCTACGGCTTCATTCTTAAACACTTAAGAGGTCCCAGCCTTTCTCTTAAGTTTCAGGAAAGGACTTTAGAGTTCATCAGCTCTGATAGTTAGCCTGCCTTTTGGGCCTGTCGTGATAGATGTAGACAGAATCACCCTGGGGGTGTCCTTCTCTGGATGGATGCCCTATCCGCAATGACGTCTGTTTGAGGTCTGGGATCTGGGGGTTATTCTGGAGTGAATGAGTCACACTGCAGGCACAGGGGGGGGGGGGGGGGGGGGGGGGGGGGGGGGTCACAGAGGGCGCGGGGCAGGCGGGGGGGGGGAGGGGGGGGGGGGGGGTCACAGAGCGAATGACCTGTCTTGCTGCTACGAAAGCCACAGGTTGGAATAAACAGAGAAAAATGTCAACAGCCTGATCTACACAACAGCCTGACAGGCTTTAGCTGCTGGGTGAGCATTGAGCTGCTTTAAATAACAGTGCTGAACCAGTGGGCAGTTATCCCAAAAGTCCATTTTCTAAAAGAACTAGACTAAAATATTAATGAACTAAAATTGATTAACCAATACATTTCCTAGAGTTTAGTCAGAGAGGATAACTGCAATACAGTGATGTGCATTTTACTGGAAACGTGTTGATGATGTATCACAGTGACAATGGTGCTACTGGATTTTGTGACACACTAAGGAACATAGCATGGTCCACTGCCTTCACACAGTAACACCTGACATGACCTCATACCCACTGTCTTCTCACAGTAACACCTGACATGACCTCATACCCACTGCCTTCTCACAGTAACACCTGACATGACCCCATACCCACTGCCTTCTCACAGTAACACCTGACATGACCTCATACCCACTGCCTTCTCATAGTAACACCTGAAATGACCTCATACCCACTGCCTTCTCATAGTAACACCTGACATNATGACCTCATACCCACTGCCTTCTCATAGTAACACCTGACATGACCTCATACCCACTGTCTTCTCACAGTAACACCTGACATGACCCCATACCCACTGCCTTCTCATAGTAACACCTGACATGACCTCATACCCACTGCCTTCAAATAATAACATCGAACATGACCCCATACCCACTGCCCTCTGATAGTAACATTGGATATAACCCCATATCCACTACCTTCTCTTAGTTACACCTGACATGACCCCATACCCACTGCCTTCAAATAATAACATCGAACATGACCTCATACCCACTGCTTTCACACAGTAACACCTGACATGACCTCATACCCACTGCCTTTACATAGTAACACCTGACATGACCTCATACCCACTGCCTTCTCATAGTAACACCTCACATGACCTCATACCCACTGCCCTCTGATAGTAACATTGGATATAACCCCATATCCACTACCTTCTCTTAGTTACACCTGACATGACTCGATATCCACTGCCTTCATATAGTAACACCTGACATGAACTCATACCCACTGCCCTCTCATAGTAACATCGGACATGACCCCATACCCACTGCCGTCTCAAAGTAACATCTGACATGACTCTATACCCACTGTCGAAGGAAAGCGTTACGCGGACATTGCTCGCCATTATGGCTTGAATGAATCGACGGTACGCTACATCAAGAAGGATGAAAAGAATTTATAAGAGCCATATATTTTTTTATTTTTATATATTTCATTATGTATACAGAGAGAGAGATGTGTGTATATATATATATTCTATATCGCGGGTTTTCACCTATCGCTGATGGATACAGGATCACTGTACTGGGGAATTTGTAAATACATGTATAAATATAAATACAGATGTGAATGTGGAAGGTTCATATGTTATTTCCATTACCTTCACTCCCAAATACAGAGCAGGGGTAAACAAGTAATCTGCAACACAGGTGGGTAGGATGGTATGTCAACAGGGAAAAACAGGCTGTTGGGAATCTACAGTCTTAATGGTTCTGCTAAAAGTAAAATTTATGTACAAACATCCACCTATCACAGCCTGTAATGTCCATTGAATTAATGACATTATTAGTCATGATGTGAGAAGCAGGTATGTCTGCTTAGTCATGCACATACCCACTGAAGCTGTGACGTTTGTGATTATCTTTGTTTATAAGCGCAGGGCAGAGACACTGCACTACAAGCTGCGGATGCTGTGGCTGAAATTCACTGCCGAATCACACGCATGCCACTCGTGTTCAGCCCGGGAGCTGATTGGGTGCACCCCCTTCCACTTTTAATCACATGGGAAGCAGTACAGAGACACGTGGGGGAGGATTCACGTTCCAGGCCCGTCCGCGTCACCTCTCAGACTCACAATATCCCGACGCTAATGGCCGGGACACCTTTATCAGGGCTGCCAACTTCGGTCAGCTGGCTGGAGTGAGATTTTCAATTCGAGCCAAGTATTCATATGCAGGCACACGCATTTACATGTATGAAGCAGTTTTATTACTTTGTAAATTGTCTGTAGTGGGTGCAAACCACCGCAATGCTTTTGATGCAGCTAATTTTAGGTTTATAATGGAAAAATATAGATTTGCTGTAAGATTTCTAGTGTGAGCATGAGATTCTGAAAGCATGAGTGTCACGTGAAATGCGCGAGAGTTGGCACCCCTGCTCGATGTGTTGGTGGGGGAAGATATTTATATTAATAACATGGTGGAAGTTATTACTGTTTTTCCTTACTGTAGAGGTAGGGAAATCAGCTCACAGCTGACCTGACATAGTCCATGGCTGTTCATTATTCGTTCTAAGTGAGAATAAATCAGATTTGATTTAATTGTGCCCAACAGTAGCATTTTGTGTGATGCTCTGTGTGAAGGTGCCACCTTGTGCCCAACATGCACAAAGTGTCTCCTCACTGGTCACTGATAATGGAAGACAGAACAGAACAAATGGAGGGATGACAGTCCCTTGTTTAGGAGGAAACCTACTCTGGAGACTCTGTTGGACACACAGAAGTGATATCTGCTCACTGGGTGTCACATAGTCTAACTCACCAGGTGTTTGGTCCTCTGAGAACAGAAACCCCTGACGAATCTGAACATGGATCAGCGGACTTACTGGTCTGGCTTACTGGTGTGTGGCTCAGCGGGTTAGTGCTCTGTCTGTGATCGGAAAGTTGCCAGTTCTAATCCCGTCCTTGACAGCAAGGTCACATGGCTGTTGGGCCCTTGACCGAAGA